CCCAAGGAGATTCAGGCCTACAGCTTCTGCTGCCTGCAAGACCCATGTTATATCCCTTCTGTATATAAAAGTGAACTAGGGACAGAAGCTTATCTGATGTCTGGCGGTTACAGCACTCCCTGGAAGAGGAGAGCCAGGGTTTCAGTCCCAGCCTGCAGGGTTAGTGAACCTCCAGGGTTAATGCCCAGCACTTAGGTCACCCTCCCAGGAAATATGTCTACTCATGCAGACTGGGCAATGGGAACTGAGTCTCCCCTGTGCAGGGTGGGTGTTGATCAGCAAGCGTCATGACATGGCCCCTCTGGATGAAAAGAAGTTGGCGTCTAGCCTCAGGCATCAGCCCTTGTCTTTAGGGAAGAAAATAGATGTTGTTTAAAATATTAAATGTGCTCAAAATGCCTGCCTGGCTTGAGTTGTGAACATACAAGAGGCATTACTTATTTTCTTCTTCATAAAATGACTGCGTATATGAATTACCATGTACTTGGAAGTAACAGTTTTGAGAATTGCATTTGTCAACAGAAGGAACTGTTTAGATTATTTGACTTGCTTCTGTGCTTTAAGTTATGAAAAAGTAAGCACATTAATATGATTTAATGAACTCAAATAAGAGACCATATATATGGAGATTACCTGAAAGTGTCATCTTCGGATTTAAACTCGTGTATACATTTAGTAAACCCACCAGTCAGTAGAACCTGATAGTCTTTTTCTAATATTATTCATAAAACGAGTATTGTGTGTTCTAGTTTGAGTCTATTTTGAGTTTCAGGTTGCTTAAGCTGCTTTGCTATGACATTGTTCTGTACAGAAATAAGAGTGAGTGCTGATAAATATCTCTGGCCACTGACTGCAATGGCTGACTTACTTAGGTTTTATTAACAGAGTATATACACAGAGGAGGAGGACTGAGCTCAGAATTAAATGCTGTTTGAACATACTGGTTTCCTGTGCCCAAAATGAGTGCAACTGCATAGGAAGGAGGTTTAACCAAGTGTTAAGTGGCCTATGATCTGAAAGTTGCCTTTTATTACCAGTGCATCTTAGCTACACATCTAGCGACAAGCACTCCATGCAAACTGGGTGCAGGTTCCATCCAAACACAAGCTGTCTGGGCTGCAGTGGCTCTATGCTTATTTACAAGTCTGTAAGTTATACTGCAAAGAACCAGCCCCATGAAACTGTTGTTAGAAAGCTAAAGAAGTAATATCATCATTGCACTATCCAGAAGCCAATTTATCATTACCATCGATCAACCCTGACAATGATTTCTTTATTAGCAATAAGGGAATGGGGTGCTTGTTTTTATTTTCATTACTTGGTTGCAGTTGTCTTGGTGAATTTTTAATCTGTCATGCAAACTTACTTAGTTTCTTATAACAATAGCATCTTTATTGTTACATTTTCTATTAACTGTGCCTTGATCTTTCTCATCCTTCCCATTTTGAGTATGCTTTGAAGAAACCAAACGTTTTGACTGTGAGGGAAGAAACAAGAGGGACTTAACTCCAAATTTGAACAAGAATTGGCAAGTAAAATTTGAGATTAATTTCCTTCATCCAAGTTGCTGACCATATGAATCAGCTTGTGGAAGTGGCTCATGCAGACTGTCTTGCCTCATTAGCATGGGTGACTTCGTGCTCTGGATTGATGTTCTTCTTTCAGATTTTTCCACACCAGCTCATTCCCTGACACTTGGCCACACTGCATAAAAAAATATCTCTTTCCTTCTGTCCTTTTATTCTTCACTTGCTTTGTCTGTGCCCTTGCACAGACTCTGAGTCACCCTGCAGTGAGATGCTGAGCTTTCTGCTAACAGATTCAAGGGGCAATAGTCACTTACTCACAAAGATGTGTTTTGAAAAGCAGCATTTAAAATTACTGGTATCTGTTAATTAAAATTTACCTGCTGTATTTTTTTTTTCTTATTATGATCACTTGATCTCATTTGTGTCTGGCTTCACGTTCACAAGTACCTCCCTTGAACCTAATTGTATTTCAGCTACAAACTATAAAGTTTGCTTCTTTGCCTCTGCTTGAAGCTCTGAGCACCTCGTATACTCTTTTTTTTTTTCTCCCCAACTCATTTAGTCATCTTAGAGATGTGTGGTACAAGCACATGTGTTTTAGGGATACATATCTCATAGGAAAATGTGGTGTCTGTTATAGTAAGGTTTTGCCTGTCAGGACTGATGGCTCCACATACAAAATACTCCTAGATCTTAATCCAGAAGAAAGATAAGCTTGCTGCTATTTTGTGTTCAGGAACTTTAACGGCAGAAAGTACTATGAAAGTATAAAGCACAAAGTTTCGTTCTTCCTTTTCCATGATGGAATTGTGTATGAACCACAAGGTACCTCTGGCAGAAATACCTCTGCTAAACTTGTACTGTTCAGAAGGAATACATATATCAACTCTGGGTTGTGATGAAAGTAGCAGTGGTGATTTGCCCCAAATAAATTAGATAAGCCAAAACGTCATTATTCCACTGGGAGGTGAGGAGTTAGTGGTGCCTATCTCTGGAGTAGCTTGTTTTAAGCACAAGTGATGAATCGGGAGGTTTATCTCCACTGCACAGAAGGTGAAACATCTCATCAGCAAATATTTCCTGTCACTTGTGGCCAGCCTGAATAGTCTCTGCATTGTGAGCTCCTGTAGGGATTTGTTTAGCTCACCAACATTACACTACACAGCTGCTATGGTATGAGAAGGTTTTGAGCATATTTGCATGTTAGCTCAGGTAGCATCGTAGTAGAGGAGTCTGGCCATTCTGAATTACACTTTGCAAGTAGTCTCATAGCACAAAAAAGTTAAGCGTAATCCCTACTTTTGGCAGGCTTAAGAAAACTTGCACATACATGTGTAAGTATAGTTCTACATGGTTTTAGAGTTAAAGCGAGGTAGTAATAGCTCCAGGCTTCACTGGTTTGCTGAAGATAGGAGCCACGCAAACTTTTCCTCATATTTCAACTACATATCAATTCTGAACTATCTGCCACGATTGTGAACTTCTACTGAATACATCCTTCTGACTGTGCCCAGTTATGTGGAAAATTTGGTATTTTAGGACAATGAGGTTTAGGCTGAAACTATATATTACCTTTTCAAAGACTCACATGTACCTACAGTTCAAGTAGGAGGATGTTTCTTTTATAGCCCTCCAGTATTCAAGCTGCCTTCATCTAAATACCCAAATTAAGAAACTGATTTCCATGAGTTCCCTGATCAATAAGGAATCAGAGAGTGAATCAGAAAATGTATCTTGTCTCAGAATAGCCTTTCTCTGTCTGTTTTCTACAGAGAGATCCTAGGGTCCTAAAATTATGTGGTCATTATAACACAATGCTCACATAAGAAGCAATGTAAAGAAATACACTTATACAGTGAAATAGAGTATCTAGTGCTCTCAGTTAATGCTGAACTTTGGCACTGCCTGACCAGGTCTATTACCAAAGGTCTGGGATGTAAGTGAAGATACAATATACTCCAAGCATGTATTTCAAACTCCTGTCATCTCATCATTGAGGAGCCTTTACTTCTTATTGTGGATAAGTTTCTGTGAGTATGTACTGCAAACCCCCTGCCTGAATTGATCAGAAAACACAAATACTCTGTCCTTTTAAATAATTGTATTTTGTAAGTTTTATCTGGAAAAAAATATTTCAACCCGCTTTTGTCTTAAGGAATTAAGTTTTTACCATCTTTGGATACCCATGTGTTTGCAGAGCACCCGTATTAGCTATTTAGTATAATAGTGCTGAGAGGGTCCTCAGGGCACTCAAACCTGCAACACTCAAGTGCAAGCCACAGTGAAAAGCAGAGCACAGTAGGCTCACAGGTGATTTATGCCGTTGCTACTAAGAAGCATCTTAAAGGACTATTTCAGGAAGCATGTTTTAGGACAGAAGACATATTAGCTAGATGTTGAGAAACAAACCATACATTACTGATACTTACAATGTAGTTACTTGGCAGCACAGAAAAACACAATAAACCAGAATATTTCTTTCCTCCACTCTTCTTTGTCCTATGTTTTATGTTGGGCTCACTTAATTTTATTGTTAGTAAAAATGAAAATCCAGCACTAAAGCATTTAGGAAACCATTGTGGTTTAACCCCAGCCAGCAACTAAGACCCACACAGCCACTCCCTCACTTCCCTTACAGTGAGAAGGGGGAGAGAATCAGAGCAAAAGTGAGAAAACTTGTGGGTTGAGATAAAGACAGTTTAATAGGGAAAGCAGAAGCCGCGCACGCAAGCAAAGCAAAACAAGGAATTCATTCACCACTTCCCATCGTCAGGCAGGTGTTCAGTCATCTCCAGGAAAGCAGGGCTCCATCACAAGTAACGGTTACTTGGGAAAACAAACGTCATCACTCTGAATGTCCCCCCTTTCCTTCCTCTTCCCCCAGGTTTTATAGGCTGAGCATGACGTCATACGGTATGGAATATCCCTTTGGTCAGTTGGGGTCAGCTGTCCCAGCTGTGTCCCCTCCCAACTTCTTGTGCACCCTCAGGCTACTCGCTGGTGGGGTGGTGTGAGAAGCAGAAAAGATCTTGACGCTGTGTAAGCACTGCTCAGCAATAACAAAAACATCCCTGTATTATCAACACTGTTTCCAGCACAAATCCACAACGCAGCCCCATACTAGCTACCATGAAGAAAATTAACTCTATCCCAGCCAAAACCAGCATATTCTGCACCCCTTATTCCATACCATTTATGTCATGCTCAGGTACCACACTATCCAATACATCCTCATTAACTACCACTACCCTTCCTGTCCTTTGATATAATGCACAGATGTAATTCCCTTAGCCTGTGGACCACCCTTATAAAATGTCCAGAAGTGTCCACAAAATGTCCATTGCGTTCCTTCTAGTCCATGACTTGGGGCTCGATCTGTTATAGTGGTCACTCAGGACAGGAGAGTTGGTGTGTTGCGTTGAGTTACTGGGCACTGTCTGCACTGCAAGCCATTAAATCTTTGTAAATCAGCCCTGCAATATCATCCTTTCTAATACATCATTATCATTTTGCATGGTGGGTTGCTCTAATTGCAAACTGTCTAGATGAGATCCCACCTGTGCATTGTAAAACCACCACAAAGCATAATTGGATGAGTCTTAACCATTCCTGGCAGTAGACCAGTGGCTTGTGAAAGTATTAAAGGAAAGGACAGCTTCAATGTGTGTAAAAGAAGGTATTGACTACTTATTTTTACAGTGAGAAGAAGTCCTTCTGTGGATGGGGGAAGAGCAGGAAATCTCCGGTAATAAAAATGTCCAAAAAATCCTTTGTTTCAGCAGCTTCACTGAGTTGTCTGCCAATAACCAAACACCACACTAACACTCTGTTAAATTCCTTTTCCCCTTATATTTAAACTGATTTTTAAATCTGTCTTCAGTTCCTGCCTACTTAGAGGGAGACAGAGGCTATGTGCATACTCTTCTAAATTAGACTCATGGCGATTTCTTAACCTTGTTCTAAATGTGTTAATGCAAACAGAAAAAGGCACTCTGCATAATGACTGGCAAGGGTGCAACACCTCACTCCATTTTAATTCTCAGATGAAATGCTGTAGGTTGTCAGCACGTCTCAAGGACAACCTTGCATCTATCCAAGGTGCCCATGGAGTTCATCTCCATGCCAGGCAGGTAGCTGCCAAACTTAGCTGCTCTTTAGAAAGCCATGAATGTCCATCCCTGTACTTGGACACTTGGCTCAAAGAGTTTGGTAATGACTGTTTTCATGGGAAGATCTGGATCCAGAGTTAGTGACTGATATGGGATTACCTGCGTACTGACTGTTACTGGTGTATGTTCAGGCATTTTCCACAATAATGGTGCTCAGCAACTTGTGGGTTGGACTGTTAAGAACGTAAGTATAATGTACAAGGGATTTTAAAAAAATGTTTATTGCTTTTGCAAGTTTCTTATTTTACTGTTCCTGGTGTGGGGAAAAAAAAAATCAACGTAACATGGAGATGTTCAGATCTTTAAAGTGTCATAAAATGGACATCAAAAAGTCACTGTCACCAAGAGGAAGCCAAAGAAAGCACCTCACTCGGTGTAAGCCTAGTATCATAAAACATTAAAATCCCTTCAGAGTGTGTGGCTTTCAGATCTCTCGTGCACATAAGAGTCGTAGCAGCTAAATACACCAGACTGTCAGGTAGACAGTCTTAAGAAATATGGCACTATCTATTCAACAATTTCTGTTAGTTTCACAAGAAAACTTTCTACTTAAATATTTCTCATCAAAGTAAAGTTTGATTCATCCCTTCATTCATCTCACCTTTAGTAGCTACTAACCTAGTTGCTCAGGCAAGTGTATAGGAAGGTTTGATATCGGTTTTTTGGGGTTTTTTTTAGTTGGAAAACTTCCATGGCAATGTAAGAGCCCTTTATGCCTTTGAAAATTAGCACTATCCATTCCCATTCTTATAATATATAAGATATAAGAAGTTACAGCCAGCATTTACTGCAAGCACACTATCCCTTCTGGAGCTTATAATAACAGGTATTAGCCAATACTGTTGTATTCACTATGGGATATGTGTCTCAATGAGAAGGGGAAGTGGAGAGGGGAAGCAACTAATAGTATTTTACATATTGAGATAATTTTTTTGTCCTCAGAACTTCCTGTGTCATTGGTTTTCCCCTAGGTCTTTTTTTTTTTTTTTTTTTTTTTTCCCCCCTGTTTGGGGCTTTTTTTTGCCTGGTAGATTTTTTCTTCTTTTGCCTCATCTTGCCTGGAGGGAGCCCCTTTCAAGTGACTCCCACTGAGCATATGTTGTTACTTTAGGGTGTTACCTGAGATTTCTCTGAATAGTTCTGCCTACCCTTCTCTGAAGTCTTTAATCCCACAAAAAATACTTCAGTAGTGGTTCCTACAGCTGCACTCACAGTTTCTGAGACTAAGATGCAATCCTCTTCTGGTATCTCCTCGGGTTGTCCCCTGAGGTTGGTCCTGGATCCCAGGTGGACTGTTCAAAATGGAACAAAACCAAGAACACACACCTTTCAGTCTGTCCATTTCCCTCCTGGCCTGGTGGGTACGAGGCATCTTCCACTAGTTCAGGATGGCAGGCTGAATTCAGAAGGCTGAACTTTCCTCTGAGCTGTAGGGCTCATTTTAGTGGCTTTAGTTTGAAATTCAGATGGTTTAAGTGTCTTAACACTGAAATATCTCCTGAAATAGACTGCTAAATTCAGATTACATACCACAGGAAGTCATGAGGTACTGCTACTCTCTCTTGAATTTTCTCTGCATTGGGGAACACCAGTACAGTCACATATGACTGGAGACTGTCTTCTAAATCATAAAATTCCCTAGAACCACACCAATGAGTTTACTTTAGCACTGTAGTATAACTTTGTTCCTACTTCTGTTGAGCCCGGTATTGTGTGGTTGATTTCTGTGTATCCCATATCTTCCATTTTTACCTTTCGAAGTTCCAGGTTTTCCTTTTAAAGTCAAAACATTTAATTTATTTGCAAGTCTGTGGTTCTGCGGTAGCACTTGTAAATCGCCATTCACTGTGATGCTGAAATTCCCATTAGGCTCATAGTTATCCCCTGTTTACTACCCGTACTACCTTCTGTTATTACACATCAGCTATGCTTCTGAATTCTTTCCATCCTAGGGCAAAATGGATAAATCTCTACATGTGTTTCTTTTGTTTTAAAGAATAAAATATTAGACAACAGAATTTAAAAAATAGATTATATTAGAAGAACAGACCAGGACAAACTGAAAGAATTCAAGTATCCTTTTGCATCTCTAAAAACACGGACAGGCACTCTCTCATACATGTACAAGTCTTGCATGGCTCTCTTCTTTTATTTGCTTTCACCAATACAAAAATCTTTTTACGCAGTTCAGTGAAAACAAAGACCTGATCGTCAGGGGGTTGCAGCAACACAGAATAGCTTGATCCCCCGGTTTTGTTTTTGTCATTGAAAATTATTGCACTGCAGGATAGTCTAGCTTTTCTTGTAACTGCTTGTTTTTCTGTAGGCTTTATTTCAAACTGGAATTCAAATTGTATTCCATGCATTACCATTTCTTACATTATTCCTCTGAATTTTTAACAGGCTTATTTGAGTTGGCCTATGAACTTTCCCATCCCCCCAAATCCACACTTACGGTCTGCCAGTCCACAAATCAACTTCCCAGTAAATGTTTAATCAGTTTATGGCAGAAGAGTCTTTTTACGTAGGTTTCCAAAAAAGTTAGACTTATGAAATCAGGCAGTCTGTGCGTGTGTGTCCATCTACCCATTTGGCTATCTGGTATTTTCAACAGGATGTTTAAAAATGTGTTGACCAGCAACCCCACTCTCCAGAAGTGTAATGAATATAGGCAGCTGTATAGAAGTCCTAATACAGCAGGCTTGCCAACTGAAAGCAGGAAAAATCCTTAGTAGACACATGAGAATCCACTTGGGAATGAGAGAGCAGAAATACCCAAACTGCAAGAAACTCTTCAGTTAACTCACGATACATGACCCTGGCAAATTTGACGGCAAAAGGCAGATCCGAGCTTTGCCGTTTCTGCAGCTTGTGCATTGCACGGTGGCTGGGGACATCAGAAGATATGTTTGGGAGGAAAGTCTCATCTTTTCACATTCTTTGCAGGGTCACTAGTTGATGTTTAGTTAGTTGATGTCATTAATGTTGATGTTTAAGTAAGTCGGATGGAATAGGCTCTAAAGGCACCTATTTTGCTTTATCAGCTGTGAAAGCAGCTGGCTCAGGTGCAGGCATCTGTGTTGCAAACACCTGTATGCGCATGCAGTCCAATGCATCCTACTTCCATGACCTATATGCAGGGGGACAGGAATAGGACCTTTTTGGAGGGAGGATTTTGTCTGTCACAACGCCCGGCTCAAACCCACTGATGTCAGCTATTTGGGAGCCCTGGGTTCATCCCCTGCCACCACTGGGGGACAAAGCTTGCTCCAAGCCACAGCAGTGGAAGCAGATCCAGCGGCTGTTGACGTGACTGTGCCAGTGCGCTCCAGAGAGCCGTTAGTGGCCGTGCAACTCAGCCAGTGCTGTCGCAGGGGAAAATGTCTTTGGTAGAGAAAAGCGCCTGGCCACCGCTACCAGGGCTATCAGCCTCCCTGCATGAACCTCTCCTCATTTCTTAAAAGATGTGACTTAAGCTATTTATTTTTGTAGGAAGGTCTATGGTGTTCTAACATGTAAGCTTTAGAAGAGTGTATTTCAGTAATTTGCCCAGCTTCTTGCTAAATTAGACATATCGATCAAGTGGTTCAGAAAAGACTTTGTAGCACTAAACGTGGCTTGGCCACGAGCACACACCGCCATCATTGCTGTTGCAATGTGAACGGGCTGGCCTGTCGCTGCGTTGTAAGCTCTGCTCCTTTCCATGTTTGCAGGATTTCACACTCCCACCTGCGGGGACGCCGAGGAGAGCAGCATGGAGCAGGAGCGTTCCTCCTGGCCTCAGTAAGCACAAGATGGCCATCTCGGGCAGCAGGCACTGGCGGGGCAAGGCTGGCCCTTTCGGTGTGGTGGCTGCCTCCTTGCTGACCCAACTGTCTGACCAGCAGAAGATGAGCGAGTCACCTTTCAGCCGGTTCAGAGGGGTGTATTTACCTCCTGCGCTCCACCCTTTAAACAAGACTTTAGTCAAGGGTGGCAAGTGGAAGGATGTGGATAGCACCCAGGAAAAGCGCAGGTCCTTCCTGCATGACTTCTGTAAGAAATACAACAGCAGAAAGAAGCTGAGAACCCACCTCATGCACCTGGTGTCAAGAATTTACGTGGAGGACAGGCACAAGGTCCTGTACTGCGAAGTGCCAAAAGCAGGCTGCTCCAATTGGAAAAGGGTCCTCATGGTGCTCAATGGACTTGCTGCTTCAGCTCACAACATCTCCCATGACGATGTGCACTATGGAAAACATCTAAGGAAACTGGACAGTTATGACCTAAAAGGGATATACACACGCTTGAACACATACACCAAGACTATATTTGTACGTGATCCTATGGAAAGACTGGTATCTGCCTTCAGAGATAAGTTTGAACATTCAAACAGCTATTACCATCCAGTATTTGGGAAGGCAATAATTAAGAAGTATAGACACAATGCAAACAAAGAGGCGTTGAAAACAGGATCAGGAGTTAAGTTCAAGGAGTTTATCCAATATTTGTTAGATTCCCAACGCCCAGTAGGAATGGACATTCATTGGGAGCAAGTCAGTAAGCTCTGCTATCCCTGCCTCATCACCTATGATTTTATAGGGAAGTTTGAAACCCTGGAAGAAGATGCGAACTACTTTTTGCAGCTGGTAGGTGCTCCAGCCGAGCTAAAGTTTCCTAAATTCAAAGACAGACATTCCTCTGATGAGAGAACAAGTGCAGAAGTAGTGAGGCAATACTTAAAGGAATTGTCTAAGGAGGAGAGACAGCTGACCTACGACTTCTATTACTTGGATTACTTAATGTTCAATTATACATCACCAATTGTATAGCACCAGAATAACGTCAGGCTTCTATTAGATATTTATCATTTTGGGATTCAAAACAACTACTTTGATATTAGTCCTAAAAGGAAACAAAGTTACTGCTAAGTGGAGTTGTCTTGGCTTAGTGGGAATTCTATAAGCTAGAATGACATCAATTGACATTAAATTATAGGAGAATGCACCAAAAAAGACCTGTAAGCAGCATAAATTGCACTAAAATGCCTGAAAAAGCTGCTTTTACTGTTATGGATTATACTGTGGAAGTGGTAGCACAGCCAGCTGTTGCATTAGCTTACCTAATGTTCTTTTAATGGTTTAAGAAAAAAGTATTCAGAGTAGCATGATTCTTTTTTGGTGTGTCTGCTTTAGAAATTGTTTTTGAAACTATTTTTGAATGTATTTTTTACTTTCTGTCACTTATTAATAAAGAAGCATTGGCTAATTTTCTAAAATGTTTGCATCATTCTCAGTTGCAAGGCTTGGTTGGTTGATTACCATCCGACTGTCACTGGTTTTAAACCTGGTTGGTTTTTATTGAAGGATGCTCTCAAATATAAATGCATAAAACTACAAATAACACAGCAGCTCAACTGTTGAGCAGAGTAAGTTTGGGTAAGCCTGCGATCTGAAGTCACAGTCCGCTACCCATTTTGACTGATGCACTAGATTTGACAAACATGACCCTCCTTTCAGAGAACTGTCACGTACATTAAAATTAACATTTTAATTTATACAGGAGTCAACTATCATGCATACTGGGGTCCCAATATTCAAGATAGTCTTCATCTTTAGTGGTAGGGCAAAGTCTTAGGATGGTAGTTATGGTACATTATAAAGCCTGTACTGAGAAGCAACTTCATTGCAACCGCTGTGACTGCTTTTGGCCTGCCAGTGTGCGATCATCAGTCTAGCTCCGGACAGCTTGTTGCACAGAAGGTATGTATGCCCATTAGCTCCTGAAGCCATGGACTTGTTTTGTTCCCAGATCTTCCTGAAGTCACCAGTGTCTCGCTGTCCTTCCTGCCTTGTCAGCAGCCAGCAAACCCCAGGGGTGGGATGGATGCTGCCCTGTTACGTTTTGGGATGGGTTATTGGTGATTAATCCTACAGGCAGTTGTGTCCAGAGTCCCACAGTCCTGGTTATAAAAGGAAATGTACCTTCTTTCCAGCTCTTCCCTCTCCTTCCTCACATGCTGTCTGACCAACACATACAGTCATTCCTGTGACCCACAGTTGCACATGATGTAGGATAGTTGGCCAGAGTGTTCCAGGAGGAGGAGAAATCTGTGCAAAATGGGTAAGGAGGAATCCCTGTGCCCTTCCAAAATAAAGATAACACCTATTCTTTGCTTCCTGGAGTGGTTTGGAGCATCTTCTTCCAGCATCTTGATATAGCAGTTGTAGAATAAGGAAACAGCCTGGCGGAAAACTGATGCAAGTAAAATGTCCTCTTCCTGTGTTCCCAACCACTGCTCATGACTAGTGCTATTGCTGTCCTTTGCCTCTTCTCAGGCAAAATGTACGGCTTCAGTCCTTCCACAGCAGTAATTGTGGGTCCCTGCTGAAAGGAGACGTTTTCTTACGTACCTTCGCTGCTTGTTTCCCCCTCAGTTTACTCCTCAGAAGAGAAAAAAAACCACTTCCAGTTCCTGTGGTAACAGTGCATAGCCAACAATGGTCTGTACGTCTGCCCTTTTATAGCTTGATGGCGTTAGGGTACACTATGCATTGGTGTCCACTAGAGCCAATGGGTCTGATGTGCCAGGCCATCAAAACACAGAATCACTAAGGTTGAAAAAGACCTTC